GAATTAATATAGGAAGTGTAATCATGCCATTTGCTTGGTCTTTTCATTATGAGAAGGGCTATCTAGCTAGTCTGATTTCCTTTATTGTGTCATTATGATTTTGGAATTTTCTTAATAGTCCTTGTTAAATTGACATTAAAATATTTAATGAGGATTTTGAGTCTATAGTAAATTGGACTGTGCTTTACATTTTCATTTCTGGCTATTGATTGTAACAACTGTTTTAGAATTTGTTTGTGTTTCCTGCTGATCACTTGAGGAAACGAGGAATTGTCCACTATGAAAAAGGGTGCTTAGCAGAGATGGATTTTCACTGCCTGTTTACCTTCACATGTTTGTGTCTCTTGTAGACAGTGTTTGACTAGTGCCTGGCGCTTGTGAGGCAGGCAGACGGAGTGCGTTTACCATTTTCCTCTACGAATAAGCCAAGTTAATTGACTTGTGCTGGGACTAAACCCATGTCTTTAAACTCCCTACAGGCACAGGGAGTACAGACCTTTGCTTTCAGCAGCTCCATTTCAAACAATTAGAGCTGCCTGGGTTGCTTTGGGAGCTTTGGTTTTGCTGACATTAAAGTCTGAAATGACAGGATTGAGAGCAGATTTTCAAGCAATGGATCAGAAATTGCTCTAAATAATATTTTAAAATACCGTGTAACTTTGAAATAGCAAGTAGTATGTTTTCACCGTAAAAATGAGAAGATGCAGAAAAGCTTTACAAAATGTCCATTAGAGGTGAATACTGCTAAGACTGGTGCCTTTTCTCCCAATGTTTTCCAAGCAGAGTGTGTATAATTGTATAAATAAATATGCACACTTAATGTATTTCCCATTTGTGAGGTGTTCTTCTCTACATTTTAATATTTCTGAAATTTAGGTTCATTTTTATATTCAGTGATTACATTTAATAAAGTGTTTCTCTTCTCAAATAATTATAATTAAATATAGTCTGTGGTAAGCTTGCTTTTTTGGGGCTTTTTTGAGGTTCTGGGGACCAAACTGAGGGCCTCACACATGCTAGGCAAGTGCTATACTACTGAGCCACATCTCCAGATTGAGAGGTTTTCGTTTGTTTGTTTTTTGGAGACAGGGTCTCACTATGTAGTTGAGACTGACCTGGAACTCACTATGTAGCCCAGGCTGGTCTCAAACTCACAGTGATCCTCCTGCCTCAGCCTTCCGAGTGCTGAGATTATAGGCGTGCACCTCCATGCCCAGCTTGGGAGGTTTTTAATTAACCTTTTCTCAGGTAATTGTAAATTCACACACAGGTACAAGAAATAGTACCAAGGATCTCTTACATCATTTACCTGGTTTCCCTCAGTAGTGAATCTTGGAAAATTAGACCCTTACAACCAGCACACTGATACTGACACAGAATGTTTCTTTCACCATACACATTCTCCATATTGCCCATTTGTAACCGTACCCTTCCTTTTTCCTCCCAATACCCTCTGCCCCATTCAGTCTGTTACTCCTGGTAGTCACCAATTTCTTCTCCATTTGTATAATGTCGTCATCTCAAGAAGGTCCTAGAAATGAAGTCATACAATATGCAAACCTTTTACTTTTTTACTCACCTTAATTCTCTGGAGACTCATGTAGGTTTTGCATGTATTGACAATGTGTTCTTTTTAAACTTTGTTTTTGTACCGGGGATTGAACTTGGGTCCTTGCGCTTGCAAGGCAGGCCACCAAACTGCTGAGCTAAATCCCCAGCCCAATGTGTTCTTTTTGATTGTTGAATATTGTTGAATATTCCATGGCTGTATCCAGTTTGTTTATTCACTCACTGACCTACATCTGGAATGTTTTTAGTTTTTGGTATTATAAATAAAGCTGCCATAAGCATTCATGTACAGATTTTTGAATGGACATAAGACTTCATTTCTCTGGAATAAAATGCCCAGGAGTTCAACTGCTGAGTTGTATGGTAGTTGCATGTCTAGTTTTCAAGAATTTGCTCAACTGATTTTCAAAGTAGCGGTACTGTATGGCTTCTCACCAGCAATGTGTGAGGGATCTGCGCTGCCTCCGTACCAGTAGCTGGTGCTATTTTTATTTCGGCTATTAAGATAGGTAAATAAATTTCCTAAATAGAGCTAATCAAATGGCTAGGTGAGTTGTGAGTTTTTTTTTTTAAGGGAACTGGCCCATTTAAGTTGTCAAACTCATGCACATGAGTTGTTTGTTATGTTCATGTTTTATCCTTTTGATGGCTGCAGACTCCTGTTTCATTCCTGTTATCAGTAATTTGTGTCATCTTTTTTTCATGATCACCTTGCTAGAATTTTTGTTTTATTGATCTTTTCAAAGAACCAGCTTCGTTTCACTGATTTTTTTCCTATTTTCTTTCTTTGTTTCTTTCTTTTTTTTTTAATACCAGTGATCAAACTCGGAACTTTCCACTGGGAAGGCAGGCAGCAAAACCACTGAGCTAAATCCCTGGCCCTATTTTTTTACTTTCATTGTCATTGATTTCTGCTTTTTGTTGTTTCCTTCTTTTTTCTTTGTATTTGTTTGTTTGTTTGTCTATTTGTAGTGCTGGGGATTGAACTCAGAACCTTTTGGGTTCTTGAAAGAGAATTTTGATTACTGATCTGAGACTTTTTATTTTCCAATATATGCGTTTAGTGCCATCATCTTTCCTAAGAGACATATTTTACATTACATAGGATAAATTTTAGTTCACATGCCATGTTAATACCTTCCTACAAGGAATATAATTCAATTCAACAAATATATACAGAGTGTTTGAGTCAAGCACTGTTCTAAATTCTTGGAACATACCAGGGAACAAAATAGACAAAGCATTCTAGCAGGGGACTATGTTTATCATTACAATTATAAATTGATGTTAGATTTAGCTCAGTGACACTGCACCTGCTTCGCAAGCGCAAGGTCCTGAGTTCAATGCCCAGTACTGAAAAAAAAAAAAAAATCCACACCCAAAAATAAAAACAAAAAAATCTCCTCAATAAATTGATGTGAATTGATCAGGCAAGTTTTACAGACAAAGTGAGGTTTGAGTAAAGGACCCATAGGAGTTAGGGGAGTTAGTCAAGCCAAAATCTAACAGAAGATGTTTTAGATAAATGAAGCAATCAGAGCAAAGGCCCTGTGGTGGGCGTTTGCCTGAACATCTAAGGAAAAGCAAGACCAGTCTGGATGGAATGGTGTGAGCAAGGGGGAAAGTGATAAAGACGAAGTCAAAAGTAATGAGGCGAAGACACTGAGTTTTACTCAAAGCAAAATTGGAGCTATTGTTGTATGTGAAGCTAAGGAATAATATGACATGACTCAGGGTTTTTTTGTATGTTTTTTTGTACAGGGTCTCACTATGTTGCTCGATTTGGTCCTAAATTCCTAGGCTCAAGCGACCCTTCCATCTCAGCCTCCTGAACAGCTGCTATCACTTTGCCTCGCTCCGTGACCCAGGTTTGAAGTGGCCACACTGGTTACTGCACCAGTTACTGCACTGGCTTGACTGTGGATAGAAGCAGGTGAGCTCTTCGCAGGCTACTAGAGAAATGCAGATGGAAGGCAGTGCGGCTTGAAGCAGAGTTGAGGGATGGCAGGAGGAATAGAAGTGATTATATTCTAGATACATGTTGAGGGGAGAGGAAATAGGATTTATTCGTAGGTTGGATATGAAGTCTTAGAAACTAAATAAGCAGTTCATTAGAAATCCTTAAATGGATGTAGCTACATCCTATACCACATGCATGCTCCAACCCCTCCAACTCTGCCCATTGCTTGTTCAGTAATGGCAGCCACTTACATAGGGCAGGTGATTAGTAGGCTGGATATTTGCTAGAGGGTACACTGGTACGAAAGTTCTGCCCAAATATATGGCAACTAACTGTACTGATAAGATTTCTTGTTCAAGAATCAGAACTGGAGAGACAAGAAAAATATCAGTGAGAGTAGAAGTGAAAGACATAGACAGAAGGCAGTATTCAGACTTCATGAGTAAGCAGAAACTGTGCATAAATAGGAGCTCTGAGCAAACAAAAGCCATGAGGCAGCAAAAAGAGGTAGAGTAATGACAGGCGTGGTAGGAGATAACAAAGACAGATCAAGATCTCAGGAGAGAAAGTCAAGTACTTGGCCTGGCTCACAGGCCAGCCCTGGAGCCAGGGGTACAAGCAGGGTCTGTCACTAGAAGGGGGCTACTGGTGCCAGACAGGCAAAAATGACAGGCATACACCAGCATGTAGTCAGGCTAGAATTAGTGCCACAGAAGCCAGAACCCCATACAGCCAAAATTCAGGGGGTGCAAAGAAGCTGGAGAAAGCAGGGGGAAACCTGTCTGTTTAGAGAAGCAGAAAAGTGTAGTGGTCCTTTTTGAAATATATTTACCGCTACATTTTTTTTTTCATTTTGTGCTTTATAACTGTGCTGTGCTTTGGGTTAATAATTTTGCTGTTTAAAATGGCCCCCAATCATAGTGCTGAAGTGCTGTCTGGTTTCCTAAGTCCAAGAAGGCTGGGCTATGCCTTACAGAGACAACCTGTGTGTTAGTTAAGCATCATTCAGGCATGAGTTATAGTACTCTTGGTTGTTGAGTTCAATGCCAAGGAATCAATAACATGTTAAATTAGGTGACTTTTTAAAAAATTTTAAATTTTTATTAGTACATGATTGCATTTCATAATGATTACACTCATCGTGTGGTGTTGGTACATATGTGGAACACATATTAATTGTGTGTGTGTGCATATATATATATGTATGTATATAAAAATTTATTTATTTATTTATTTATTTATTTACTGGGGATCCAACTCAGGTCATTGCACTTGCGAGGCAGGTGGCGGAACTTAATTGTTTCTATTTCTTCTTTTTCTCCCTGCCCTCCTCCCTCCCTCTATCTCTTGGTTCTTTTCCCATTTGCAAAAGATCTGTCTCGCTGATTCCCATTATCTTTTATTTTGCTCTTTAAATTATGTATACCTTGTGTTTCTCGCATAAAAGAAACCATGCAATATTTAAGCTGGTGTATCTGATTTATTTTTAAATAGCAATATACACAAAATGAGGTTACATGTTGATTGGTTGATGAAAATGTTATGACTAGACCCTTGCAGGAACTTAGCTTTCTATCACCTCTAGGAGTAATACTTCATTAACAAATGCTAATTTAAAGTTCAAAAAGACTTTATAGCTGCTGTGAAAAAAATCAGAGCTGATGGAAACCTGTCCAGGATCAGAAAGTTTATGGAAGAATGGAGCACTTAGCTCCAAAGCCGTGCATTTATGATTCCAGGTCCCTGTGCTCATTCTCTCCCACCATGCTACCTTTCTGATGAGAAAGAAAAGCTCTATAGCTTAGCTTCGAGTGCTCCTTCTATGGTATAATGCTGTCTCTCCCCTAGAACTTGTTGCTAAGTTGAGAAAAGAGCAGTTAGGTAGGAAACAATTATGAAAAATGTAATTTTTCTACGTTAGGGCTGGGACAGCAATCTATGGCACATTGAGCCTCCCTCTCCTCTTACATACCTGGGGCAAACGTCATGAATCTACTACAGTTCCTTTTCCTGCCAAGCCCAGCTAATCATAAGCCTTCTCGATATGGGACTCTAGGCAACTGCTCCCAGTTATCATTTGGCATCTAAAATGAAACCCTTATCTCCCTTGCACATGACCTATGCCCTTGAAAGATCAAGCATACACTTGGAGATCTGATTTGTCAGGCTTAAGGAAATTCAGAATTTAGGCAAATTTATCAGTCTCTTTCAAAGCCCAAACCTTCATGGTAGCTAGGAACATCACAGCTGACTCTGCTTTTGAAGGGCTTTATGGAGCCCTTTGGATAAGACTTTGCTCCTGTAAGATTTGTTATGAAGGGGAAATCTTCCTTATCTCTGACTCACAGTGCCTGGAACACTGGAGACTGCAGATTGGTGCTCAATGCCTCTTTTTGAACGAATGCTTAGGCCCCTAGATTGATACCTGTCTTCCACAGGGAGAAGAACTCTGTTGTACACTGATAACAGAATGGCACAGTGGAGCCAATACGGCCCCAGGCAGAGATCTTCTGAGAAGGCAGTCAAGGGCTTGTAAATGAACCTGAAGAGGATAAGCACTCTATCAACTCCTGTTGCTTCTCTTCTTCGTTTCTTTTCATTCTCTTCTATGATTTAACTCTTCACTTTTAGTAGATGGACTCGGGAAGCCCAAGCACAGGGAAGGGGAAGTATGAAGTACGTTGCTTGAGCTAGAATATAATCTTGATTGCCAGGGCTTCAGCACCTAGACTTCCTAGGCATCAGTCTGCCCACTGTCACGAAGGGTCCTGGACTCTCAGCCCTTTATCTGCTTAGCCCACTTCCTCTTACTTCCTTCTTTTTCCTTTCCCGCTCTCTCTCCTCCATCGGTCATGGCAAATGGGATCTGAGAGGAAACAAGGAAGGGCGAATGGGAAGTTAGACCAGGAAGAGATGAACACATTTGACTGAGAGCTAAAGAGGGAATATCGCTTAAGTGGGTCAGTGTAGCGAGAAGTCAGGATCGAAAGGATGCGTTTAGATTTCTGAACTGTTTGTTCTTTATTATTACAGGTGATTTTCAGCCCAAATCTCTGCCCTGTGTTAGGAGAACTGCAGGAAGCCAGAGTCCCCTAGCCTGCCGCTGCTTCTGGAGAAGTAGGTAAGGGGGTGGGGTGTGATAAATGGCAAAGGGACATGGACTTTGGAATAGGATTGAGCAAGATTATCACTTGCTAGCTGTAGTTTTGAGGCAGGCTCTTTAATTGCTCAGGATTTTAGTTCTTTCATCTGTAAGATGCATTTTATGGGTTAAAAGAAACATTTGTAAAGTTGTTTCATGAGGTGTGCTTATGAAGCACAAACGGCATCTCTTGTTAGCATTAGCAATACTTGCTTTTTATGAGCATTATCCGTTGTCCCCTGCTTTCTGATTCTAGACTTAGGACTGAAAATAGCAACCACCCTTTCTCTGTCTGGTGAATCCTACGGCTGAAGGTGCTGGTCTCAATTTGCTTGACTAAATCCCTTCCACTCACTTGACTTTTACACTTGATCTTAGTCAAAAGGCCGAGAAGCGATTCACTTGACTTTTATATGAAATGACTCTTAGTGTATTACTTTGAGCATGAGGGTACTTTGGCTGCTCTCCTCAAGCAGGTGGGCAGGAGAAACTATTTTTAAAAATTTATTTAGCAATATTCACTTTATTTTAATAGGTTAATATACCCAATTTTTCTTCAATGAAACCTTCAAACATAAAAAGCCTGGGTCCATACTATGTCGTAGCCTTGTTTGATAGCACTTTATTAACTCAATTAATGCCTGGGGACAGTTATGCAAACTATAATAATCATTATCTACAATTTCATAAAATTACCCAGAAATGCTTGCATTTTTTTCTTTTTCGACAACATGCATAAAAGTACACACACACACACACACACACACACACACATACAGTGGTTAGTGTATTGAGAAAAAGATGTCAAACATCTGTGAAAGATGTATTAGATGTCACTATCCTTCAAGGGGAAAGAAAAGAAGGAAGGGACCTAACATCTGACATTGAGAAATTTCTCTGTGCCAGGAATTTTATATTCATAAACCCATTTTAGCTCTTATGGCAGTGTAGGAAAGCAGCTATCATCAATTTAGGCCTATGGGTCATACAACTAGTGAGATAGAATTTAGTACTGACACCAAGCCCGGCTGATTCCAAAGTTTCCTTTCTTTCCCCTTCACCTAATCAGATCTTACAGCTAGAGAATGAACCAGAACAAGGATGTTCCAACTGAGAGTAGTGGACTAGGCCTTAAGGTTCCACGGAGATCCCTCATGGGACTCTCACATAGTAGTGAAGATTATTGGCAAGAGGAAAAGAGGAAAGCTGAGTAGGCTGGGCTCCAGGCCTTTTTCACCTTTAAGGCCAACTCATCTATAATTAGTTTTATATATTAGGATACAATGTACTATTTCAATAAAAAAGGTGGAATAAGGTTCTGCTAAACAAGCCTTTTGAAGGTCATTAGCTAGAATCTGACCACCACAGCTCCCTGATTTGGGGGATTCTGTTTCAGTTGTCCCCAGGCAATGAATTAGTTTTCCAACACCTTCGTTATTCACTGGATGTGTGTCAGGGGCTTTGGGAGAGATGATGCTCCCTAGAATGAAGGAAGTAGGTAATGCACCTCAGTTAGTGAATAATGCTGGAATTAAGATAGGGAAGAAAGAAGATTCCTTGGGCACTTATTTATTCACAGACAGAATGTGAGCAGAGGGAAGTCATGTAGGGGAAAATGCTGATATAGAAATTACTAAAGAAGGGCCGGGGATATAGCTCAGTGGTGCTGTCACCTGCCTCTAAAGTGCAAGATCCTGTGTTCGATCCCCACTACCAATAAAAAAAAAAAAAAAGAAAGAAAGAATGAAATTATTAAATAAAATCAAACTCACCACCACAGTGGTGAATGAGATCTGAGGAAGTACATTGATCTTTTGAGAATCATCACTTCCAAAGACCACATCTAGTTAGGGTCTCTTCTGAGAGTTTGCCTTTTTATGTCACCAGTTGGCTTATAGTGAGTCAATGTGATACTCTTAAAGCAAGTGGAGTCCCAGTAAAGTATCACTTACTTAAATCTGTAGAGGAGATAATAATTTTGAAATTTTAAATTCAGCATCTCAGAGGCTACAATGTCTAGGTAAGATGCCATCTTTGACAAAAACATCTTTGACACCATCAAAGACGAAGGGGAAAATAAAAGTCAAATCTGCCCTTAATTTGAAAGGCAGATTTTTAAAGGTGTCTTGCTGTACTGCAGGTTTGACTCAAGGGGTCAAACAATGCTCTTGCCTCTCAGCCTCCTGAATAGATGAAATTATAGGCACCAAACCCACTTGGAGGACCACTGTTATCTCTGCGTCCCCAAGTTACTCCTTAGTAATTCCTCAAAGAAGAATATTAAAAATGGTTAACATTTGTTGATGGAACACTTCATCTTTACAATAAATAAAATAACAGAGCCTCAAATTGTCTCCCCTTACTCTTCTTCCATAGTAATGGAAATCCTGATTTTTAGCTCTGTATCAAGCTGCCTAGGATTTCCCATCCTTCTTTCAGCTAAGTGTGACCGTGTGACTATGATTTTGCTAATAATAATAATAAGCCAATAATAATAAGCACAAGTGTTATATGGAAGCTCCTGGCAAATTTCCTCCAAAGGCAGATGGTCTCTGCTTCATCCTTTCTGCTATCCTGCTTCCTGGAACCAATGTGAAGACTGCCACTGTAGCCGCCATCTTGGATTATGAGGGCGAGGGCCACAGCCAAGGAATGGAGGGCGGTGAAGTGAGACTGGCCCCCTGAGGATGTGATGGAGCAGCTTTGGCATGCTGCTTCAGGAATTGTAAGCAAGAGAAAAAGACACCGATACAACCTATTCATTAGGTACTATCGTATCATAGTTTTAGCCAGGTGTGGTGGTACATGTATGAAATCTCAGCACTCTGGGAGACAGAAGCAGGAAGATCAGAAGATAAAGCCCAACCTGTACAATTTAGTGGCTCAGGGTGACCTTGTCTCAAAATAAAACTAATAACGGGATTGGGATATGGTTTAAAGTGAAGGCCCTAGGTTCATTTCCCAGTGCTGGGGAAAAAAAAAAAAATCCAGTTCTGCAAAAGAGAAAAATTGTGAATTAGCCAGAGGAAATAATTTGCCAAGATTGCCCATCTACTAGATGAGTCAGAAACTGAACCTGATTTTAGCCAAAGTTCATGAGTTTTCCTCCCTCTCTGTGCTTACTTTCAGACCATGAGAATAATGGTTTTTTGAACTTCTGTGGTGAGAAAAAGCCTTTTGCAAAGCTGAAAGTGTTTGATCGTAAGACCACAGTCTCCAACACGTGATTCCATCATCTGTTTCAAAAGCAAAATCACAAGCCACAAGGGTCATAGTGAAATTCAATTACATATCACCTTGGGAGTCCTGGAATGTCACTGCTACCACATAGGGTCTGACCTGAAGACTCTTAGGCCTTCTAGGAGAAATGGATAAAAGGACCTTGGGATTTAATGATTGGGACCTTAGAGAGATGGCTGATACCCGTGATCAGTGATGGGATGATGAAGCAGGCCTAGGGGCAGAGCAGAGGTCCTAATCCTAGGAGGAAGGCAGGGACCTGGTGCCAGAAAGGAGTAGTGGTGGGCAGTAGAAGGGCATATGAGTCTTCCTGTGGGGCACAATCTGACCAGTGAGAGGGTTTGACGTAGGTGATGTCACAAAGTGAATACAGTCCCAGACTTTACATAACTGAAGGAGCTTCATGATCATCCATTTGAGTCTAAACACAGTTGTTTAGATGTTAGATTGCTTATGCTTTGTTGAGAAAGCTGTTGGTCTTTTACAAGGACAGTAGAAGTTAGGAGAGGCTGTGGTCTGATTGAATAGAGATAAAATTGAAAGTGGTAGTCAGAGTTGGGGAACAGCAGAGCCAAAGTGTTAGTACCAGCAGAAACTACTGGAAGATGGAACGTAAATCCTGTTTGTCGTGACTGCATACACTCTGTCAGCAGAAAAATCAGAACCAGTGGTAGAGAAGAGCAAGTAGTTGATTTGTTTGGAGACCTAGCAGAGGCACAACCCGAGGTACATCTGACAACAGCATGCACCTTTGGAATGTGAGGGGATATTAAAAATGTATGTTTCATCAACCAGACATAAAAGGGAAAATATTATATGATTTCAGTTCCGTGAGGTACCTAGAACCTAGGGCCAAGGAGGAGGGAGGAATGAAGAGTTATTGGTACAGGGTTTCAGTTTAGAATAATGAAAACATTCTAGAGATGGATGGAGGTGATCCTTGTGCAATAATTCTGTTGCTGGATTTACCTGCTTCAGACATTGGGCTTCTTCCTCCACTTTTGGAAATTCCTTGTTCCTTAGACTTAATAACGATTTGGCATCTGGGGCTCAGTTGTTGGTGTACAATCCTTTGGGTGGAACAAGACTGAGGCCAGGCTGAACATGCCACTCTGGGATGAGAGTACAAGACATCTGGCAGATCAGCTCCAGGGACAGGCCACACTAGCAGAAATGCCTGTAGTGGCTCACAGGGCCAGCCTAAGGGTCAGGTAGTTCTGGCTGCAGGACCTACAAGTCACTTTATGTCTTGACTTCTTCCCTGATGAAATCTGCCCCCCGCAGAATGAGAGCTACACGAGATTGCCTGTACTACTTGACTCCACAATTAGAATTACAGAAAAGTTTTCCCAGCTTTCTGGGGATTTCCAAGGTGCACTCTGTTCTCCTCTGCCTCCAGGCATCTGCATTCCATTGTGCTGGCTCTACTTTACCACTTCTCAGCCCAAATGAAAAACTCAATCTTTTCACTAAGTTACCCTAACATGATTTACAGTAGATATTTGTAATCTGGTGGACTCTCTCAGGCTTTTACGTGTGTGTGTGTGTGTGTGTGTGTGTGTGTGTGTGTGTAGTGCTCAGCCCACTACCATCTTACACACCTCTCTCCTCCTTTTTATGTTCCAAAGGACCCTCAAAATTTAAATTTCTTACCCATTTTATGCAGAAAGGATTTCCATTCTTTTATACTTTTGAATTCAAGCAGTTATCAGACTATTTCTTCTCAAGCAGTTAATCTTTCCTCAATAGCAACACTATTACCAAGATTTAAGGTAATACAGTTTCCCCTGTTTACATTCTTTGAGTTTTAAATTTTTGTATACGAACCAAACATTTTCAAAATAAAGAGAATATAATATACTCCATAACAATTGGAATAATATGAAAAGTTTAAACCAGTCTCAGGTTTAATCAAAATAGATATCTTCCTTCTCCTCCTTATACCTTGCAACTGTTCCTTACCCTGCCTGTGTATCTATCATTTGGCAATCTCTAGGGGACAGTACTGACAGAACTGCAGAGATACAATTCAGTAGTTGAAAGTGGGGCCTAGAATTCTACTTCTTAAAAAAATTCCCAAGTAATCACTTGGGAATACTGATCATTCTGGCCTCCTTTTGAAGGGCTTAATAGCCCAGTGTGGCTATGGCCTATCATACTGGACAGTGCAAATATCCACCACTGTTGAAAGTCTTAACAGCTGCTCTAGACCATTTACTGTACAAAGCATTTCTGTGATGTTTAGAGAGTACAGCTTTACCACCGTTCTTCGTCCGCCTACCAGACTCTTACCATGCCATCTGGACTGTTGCTCCCTAATTAGGAAGCTCTCCTACAGCCTCAGAGACTTCTTTTTCCTTTTGCTTCTTGGTCTTAATTATTTCCGCAGTTCAAGGCCAAGATATGGAATTGGGTTCCACTTTGCTCCCATTAAGTGCTCCCATACTCTTGTGGAAGGCAGTCATTTGAAGGCTATTACCACTTGGCTAGTATCACTGTTCTGCTTCTTACTACTTTACTACCTTATTCAGTGTAGATGTTTACACCTAGCTCACAACATTACTGTTTACTTCAGACCTTGCTGTCATCTTGGATAATGTCAATGTCCAGTTAACAACTGGCCCCTCAGCTCCTTGACCTTTTCATCTCCAATCAAAATAAGAGCTAACACTTCCCAGTTGCCAGTTACTGTTCTAAAAAAAAAAAAAAATCAGCATTTTATGTAACTCATGTGATTCCATGACAGCTCTGTAAGATAAGTCACTATTATGATTTCTGTTTTACAGATGTAGAAACAAGTAATTTGCTCATAGTTGTAGCAGCATAAAGTAGTAAAAGTGAAGATTTAAATTCTGGTGCTCTGATCCCAGAAAGCACATGATTCAACACTATAAATTTTCTCCCTCTAATTACGATCTTTCCTCTATTTCATCTCTTTTACCCATGTCCATTGTCATACCATAAACCCTGCCATTACCTCTGCTGTTATCTTTACATCACGAAATCAGGCATCCACTTTCTGGATAACTTTCCCTTGAGCAGGGTAATAAAAACAACAATAAAAGTAATAATAGGATATACTTCTTGTGCTCGCTTCGGCAGCACATATACTAAAAAATAGGATATACTTCTAAGTGCTTTTCAACAATATTAACACACTCCTCACAATTCTATTGAGAAGGTAAGTATTATCATTACTGATTTACAGATGAGGAACATGAGACAGAAAAGTTAAGGAACATACCAAAGGGCACACAGGCCATCCGGACAGGCTACAGAGTCCACAGTCTTATCTATTGTGTTAAGGATGGTAAGCATAAGTTATGATGAAAAATCACTATCATCTAGGATTTTATTTTCCAAAATACCCTCAAGTTCCAAATGTTTCTTTGTCCCGGGGACTTAGCTCAGTGGTTCCACCGCCTGCCTTGAAAGCACAAGATCCCGAGTTCGATCCCCAGTACCGAACAAAACAAAACAAAAACAACAACAACAAAAAACCAAAGCAAATGTTTCTTTGTTTGAAAGAGCCCCTCTGCTTATTTGGATATTTACCTCATGTTAAGAACCATGAATTGGATCATTTCAACAAACTCTCCTACTTGGTGTCCTGTTTGAGTTTAACCTACTGCTGTCCTGCTAACTGATCAGTGTTCCAAACAGGACAAAGCTAGGGCTGACGATGGAGGAGGCATCCTAAGCAGTGCATTTGAATAAAGAAAGCATTAATACAATGGTTTGGGGGGGGGCAAGCAGGGATGGACAGATCTCCTCATACATAATGCCTAATACATAACTCCTTTTGTTCATCTGACTCAGTCCAGTAGCCAGAAAGAGGATTAGCTGCTTAGCTGGGGATTGCTCAGGGATGCAATTTGTTCCTCATTAATGTGATGGCTTCTAAAGTAAGAAAAAAGCAGAAGGAGACAGCAAAGAAGGTATTGTGGCTTAGGTCCAGGGGAAAAGCAGTCTGACTGAAACGGTTCAGTTCCCTTGGCCAGGAAGCAGCTATCTACGTAAACAGGAAGTAGAGAAGGTTTGGGGGGAGGGCAGTGGTTAGTTGGTGAGAAACAAGGGCTGACACCAGATGGTTTAAGTGGTTACACGCAAAAGAGATTCTGACACAGGCTCAGGGCTCTGCATGTTAATTACCCCAGCTCTCTGCTGGGAGGCCTTGCTTCAACAGGGTGTCTGTGCAGTATGTTTTGAGTTCTGATCTGAAATGGATAAATCTTTGAGCAACTGTCCTTTGCCAGTTGTCTGTTTATTTTATTATCTCAACATCCTGTGAGAATAGGATTAAGTTAAAAGAAAAAACTGGCTCTGAGGGATTAAATTACCTTGTCCAAGTTCGTTTACATTATATACTATTACAGATACTTATAAAACTGTCTCCTCTCTGAAAAATAACCATAGGCTATTAAAAGAAAATGGATTAGCTTTCTAGGGATACTACAGCGAATTATCACCAACTCGGTAGTTTAAAACAATAGATATCTATTCTGTCACTATCTTGCAGGCTGGAAGTCTGAAACCAAGGTGTCCGAAGGCCACGGTTCTTCTGAAGCCTCTCGCAGGGAATACTTCATTGCCTTGTCCAGTTTCTGGTGCCCCCAGACATTCTTTAGCTTTTGGTTATGTAAGTCCAGTGGTGTCTCCATCTTCACATAGCTTTTCCTCTTTGTCTTTGTCTTCTCCATTTTGCTGTCTTACCAGGATACTTGTCATTGGATTTAAGGCCCACTTGGATGATGATCTCATCTCAAGATTCTTAACTTAATTACAGCTGAAACCTGTTGTCCAAATAAGGTAACATTCACAGAGGCTGGTATTAGGACACGGACATATCCTTTTTGGAGCCAACATTCAATCAACTATAAAGGATATCATTATTAAAATATAAATGCAGATTTTATAGTATTTTAAAAGCCACCATAGAGTTTAAAAGGATATTATCTTGATTAGAGTTCTCATTTTCATAACTCTATTCTGCTTTTCCAAGATGCCAGTCGCACTTCCCACTAATTGCCTCTGCCCACCCTCTTAAACCTTAGGCTTATCAGAATTCCACAGCAAGAGGAAATTGTGACACAAAGCAGGTGCAATGCATATTCCCACCCATGACTGAGAACTGCTTCTTGGAGGAAATGGTACAACCCAGGCTGATGGATATAGCACGTGGTATTGTGCATTCAGGAGAGAGAAAAAACCCACCAGTAGAGATCATGGAGGCTGAAGCTGAATTGATTTGAAGAATCTCAAATCCAAAGGGTAAGGCTGGAAGTTGGGGTCTGATTAGTGTAAGAGAGTGACACTGTTGTCATGTGACCCATCTGAAATACAAATGTAATTATGTCTCACTCTGCCTGAGATCTTTCAGTAGCTCCCTATGAATATTGGATGAATTTCAGATTCCATAACACATCATACAAGAACTTTGCAAGCTGCCCACTTCACTCTTTAATTTATATTTATTTATTTATTTTGGTACCAGGGATTGAACTCGGGTCCTTGCGCTTGCCAGGCAGGCCACCAAACCGCTGAGCTAAATCCCCAGCCCTACTTCACTTTTTTAGATTCATCTCTTATCACTCTCTCTCAAAGATCATCTGTTCCTGTCATCTCATGATTCTTGCTATTTCCCAAACAAGCCATGCTCTTTATTGCTCTTCTATCCTTGAACACATTGTTCCATATTCTTGGAATGATCTTGTCAATTCTCTGCCTGATAATTCCTATTGCCACACCAGGGTCAATTTTCTTTGCTGTCCATCAGTGATCCTGCATTAACAAGCCTCTGTAGTTCCTTTAAAGAGGAACATCTTCCTCTTCTCTGATTTCAGTCACTCTGTTAGTGGAAGCTGTTTGCCTTGTGTTCTATCTAACCTACCCCAAAGACTTTGAGAAGGACAGAACTATATTACTCATCTCTGAATTGCTAATGTCTCCTTGTTGCTCAATAAATGTTTGCTGAAAAGTGAAAAAAACTGCGTTCTCATGGCTTTAAGTCTGAAATAATGCTTAGTTTGGTGACAGTAGGAACCAGGCTTTTAATCATTGTAAAGCTGTCAGGCTGGAGCCATGGGCAGGGAAAAACACAGAGGCAGTCCCAGAAGTTAGTCTGGAAGAGGTACAAGAAGAAGGAACTTCATGAAACCGAGAGTGAGGTTATCCAAATTGGAGACTTAATGTTTGTGGTTCAAGAAGATTGGTGCCCTCAATCCATTCTCTACCTTCAGCATAAAAACTACTGAAGTAGAATCTTGTTGTTCAGTGTCAGTGACAACTCCTTAGAAAGGGAGCGATGGTAGATGAGCTATAACTACAAAGTGTCAGTGCTGACGCTAAGGGGCGATATGGTTGTATGATGAATTGACGGGGAAAGGTCAAGGGAAACTTAAGTAAGAGACAAGAGAATGAGATCTGAGGTTGAGACCCATTGGCTGGTATGCATAAATTAGTGAAGAATCTGTTATAGTCTTGGTACTTGCAACACTTAGCTGATTCTGAGGGAAGCATTCCATTTTTCTCAGGCCTGGCATTTGTTCTAAGAGCATCTGATCTATAGGCTAGTAAAAGCTAATGAAGTCTTGGTATAAGAATTGTTCTGAAAATGATGTTTTAGCCTCCAAATCAGCTGGCCCAAGCAGCACAATGTAATAGGAATCCAAAGTCTAAAACCAAGCACATACCAATTGGAATTGTTTAACTTCTCTGTGACTTCAATTTCCTTTTCAGTGAAATGAGCATGGCAATAATAGTATATACTTGTCTGAAATACTTTCAAGATACAGTGGGTAACAATGAATAAAGCCCTTTATAGGAGTGATCAATAAATGTTATCTATTATTATAACTAGTAAGCGGCAATACCCCTAAGTACCACCTTCTGAATGGAAAGAATAATAGTTATTTTTTTTTCCAGCAGACTGGGACCTGTATTAATCAAGAGTCTTTCCATTGCAAGTGATAGAAACCCAACTCAAACTAGCGCAAGCAAAGAGGGCTTCATTGGTGTGTTGGTCTGAAAGGCTCTGGGCTATCTACACCAGCTTCCCTACAGCTGGTATGGGGCATCAGGTACAAGGGACAGCCAGGGACACCAATTTTCTTCTTTTGTGCCTCTGACTCTGCTTTCTCAGTGCTGATTTTACTCTCAGGCAGGTCCCTTTCATAGGAGTAACATGGTTATTAGGAGTCCGTTCCCACAGTTTAGTAATTTTCTCAACAAAATCATGCAGCAAAAATTCTGGGCCATATTGGATTACATACTTGCTCCTGAACTAATCACCGTCTCTCTAACTGGCTGGGCATGGACCATGTAACCCACCACTGAGTAAGGAGAACCACCTCTCCACAAAAGTGAACCAGGAGAAGGCAGTAGAAGTTATGGGTGGGTGGGGGGATGACTCAGATTTAGGAAACTTGAGACTTTATAATTTGGGCCCATCTTTAATAAAAACAATCTAAGAGTTTAAAAAATAGATTTAAAAGTAAATTTTATTTCGAATGAGAAACTAAGTCACAAAAAATTATTGGAATCTTGCAGATTTAAGTTATTTTCTTCTAAGATCTACTGAGGCAATTTACCAGAAATGCTATTGTACACATGCTTGTTATTTATCATTTGGCCAGCACTCTCCACCTATAATACGAGCACTTGCAGGGACCCAGGCAAGTGAAAGACTGAAACTTAAGCTTTGTTAGTTCACAGTAAATCCTCCTCTGGACACAAGGCAAGCAAAAACAGTGGATGCCCTTTTCTTCATAGCAGATTTTTTGTTTTAAAGAATGAGATCTGAATGTATATTCAAATAACTGCTCGGGCCACCACATCTGGGGAACCTTGGGTCTTGGCAGTACAAGTGTTCATCATTTTGTACTTTGTGGCACTGGCCAAACCCAGCTGGATTTTTGCTACACTGATTTTAACAGCTTTGCACTCACGTAATTCAGTCCTTTAAAAGGCCATGTTTTATTTGGCACCGATGCTTTCAACAAACTCACAGAGACCATTGGCCCTAGGAGCCAAAAGCTGAACCTGTCCTGCCACAGCCTCTGGCTGTGTCCTCATTTCCTTTTCTGTCTCCACTATCTTTTCTTCCATCTCATACTTTTCTTCTTTCTGTTTTCCTCCACCTTTTCCTCTTTCTTCCCGTCTGCCTCCCTGATTGCTTTGACAGATCATTGAGTTCAGACAGTACATCACATACGAGGCCTCAATTAGGAGCAAATTCCATTGACGTCAGACCATTTGTACATTGAGTGAACTTGGCTTAATTTTTGGCATCTAAAGCTGTGTCCATCAGAATCACAGACAAGTGCCTTCAGGGCAACAAAGGCATTCCAGATGGAGGTGTTCAGGGAGACTCCCCAGCACACTGCCTCCCATCTTGGCCAGGGCTCAGAATGCCATAGGCCACTGTTGGCACATCCCCAAGGCTGCTGTTTACTTTTGAAAAGAGGGCAGCAAACATACTGCGACTTATCAGGGGAAACCTGCAGATGATTAACTCTGGGTCCATTATAGGCAACATTTCCACCCAGTTGGACTCCAGGATGGGGGTAAAAGGAGGGTAGGAGCAAGGGCAGACAGTGGAACACCAGAAGTTTGGCAGGAATCGTAAATATTTTCCCCTAAACAAAGGAAACACAACAGTAGAAGAAGAAAAAAAAAAAAAACTTAAAGACAGACAAGCACGGGTTCAGGCCCCTGCTATTTCATGTATTACCTGTATAATCTTGACAGATTGTGGTAGATACCTGCCCAGAATTTGGTTTTGTTTTGTTTTTCCCACACTCTTACTTCTGAAAATAGCAGCCTCTTTCCTATGGAGCATTTCTTTCCTACAGCATTTGGCCTTAGAGCTCTGTCCTTCTGCCTCAGCCCCTCTCCTGACCCTTAGTGATAGTACTGAGCTGGATCCATTCCAGTGTCACAATACCTGGATACAGTGAACAAAGCACACAGTTTATGCTAGCTCATTTAGTCCTTCCTTGAAAGTTTTCAAAATTTCCACATTGTATCAAAGCTATGCAAGGACATTAATATACTTTATAACTGAAAAGTAGAGGAGAGAGGAAAATAGCGGTCACTCTAGCTGGGAGAAACGCAGACATTCAGAGTCAAAAAGCTATGCCTCTGCTTCTCTGAATTGCTGCCACAACTACCCAGATTTATGGAGGCAATGCGGGGTCACACGTGTGTGTGATTTCCTGGCAGCTGAAAGTTATCTTTTCAAGGGTAAAGGGACCTCTTTTTTTATTTTTTAAACCATGTTATTTGCAAGCTTCTAAAATACTTTGCATGCTTCCTTTACTTCTAAAATGGAGGATACCATATTTAACCTCTTTAGTTCAGGGACATCAAAAGACGCATTGATGAATAGCTTGTATGATAACATGGTTTGGGGCTTCTCCTCTTCCTCTTCCTCTTCCTTTTCATTCTCCTTTTCCTCCTTGTTCTTTGGCCCAGCGTATAGTTCTTAACTTCTGCCTGCTTACCCAAGCCCCACAGGGCAAGGTCCCAACAAGAATGAGCTTGAGGTACTCCAGCCCTCATGAGGTACTCTGACCATTTTTGGCTCAAGCCCCCCATTCTTTTTCTCTCTTGTGTCCACTTCCTGGTGTGTTCTTGCATTCCTTTGGCTCCTGAACTTCTGTTTGCTTCCTGCTTTTAGGCCAGCAGTTTCTCCTTAGATCTCACCTGCGATACAGCTGCTCTGTGCTTGACCTTTGGTCCTCTTCCTCCTGTGCCACTCTGCTTTTGCCCTTGGGCCCTGTTTTGCCTCCAGCTGGCAACTATACTGAGCCAGGCTGGGGTCCCATGGCAGAGATCATATGTTAGTGTTTCTGTCTCCTTTCACATGGTTAAAGGGACTAGGACTATTTACTGCAGGGAAAACAAACTGAAGCACTACAGGAACCTGCAGAGTAAGATTTAAAATAGCTGATGATAGAAGAAGGGTTATGGGACATAATTGTAGTCCTACTGCAGAGAGCGTATTGTAATTAGCATACGGAAATCAGTTCTTTGGGGAGCATCAATTACACTTTTTATAGGTTGAGTTACAAATGCATCTTCGCAGCTGTCAATTTTCCAAGCCCCACAGCTAGGCCGCTTTCTGTGCCCATCCTCGTCATACCTCACTTTCTCTTGTCGCCTCTCTGCTGACCCAGGATCCTTGGGCTCCCAAGGTTTTAACATTTTCTTTCTGCCCCAACAGACCCATCTTGTCATCTCCATAAAAATGGTGGAAAGTTAGTAAAACATGACAGCACCTCTATATATGTGTTGAAAGTGGATCTCGCGCTTTTCAAGGGTTAGGGGGCGTTAACAGGCTAAAAGTCTCTTTCCAAATGTATGGATGCCCTTGTTTGAAGCTATAGGAAACAATGCAAAGGATGAATCATGCCAAATTAAAAGTTTAAATTAAGTATAAACATCTCAGCCCTATTTTAAGAACTTTGGAGAACATGCACCATGGCTATGTTCTCCGTAAGCTCTTTGTTCTTTTACATGGGAGCCCATCTACCCATTCAGATACAGAAAGGGCACAGAAGCCCAGGCTAGAGGCTCCATCTCTGATATGAACACAAGAATTTGCCCCAACTTTCCACCTCTTTTGCTTACTCTGACATTTTATTCACCTCGGCTCTGCGATCCCATGGTGGACTTTAGTGCTGTGGTTCTCAACCCTGGACATCAGAGAACTTTAAAAAAAATCTGACATCAGGACACAATCAATTAAATCAGAATCTCTGGAGCTAGGGCCTAAGTATTTAATCCCTCTGCCAATGTTTTATTAAGAAAAACTTCAAGCATACCAGAAAGTTGAACCTGCATACCCACAACCTGGATTTTATTATTGGCATTTTATTATATATCTCTATCCATCTGGTAACCTTTTACTTCTATCTATCATCTGTCTATCTATCTACTTACCTATCTCCCTCTAGCCAACTACCAGTCCTTCTTATTTTTTGATACGCTTTAAAGTAAATCGACTACATAGGTGAAGGAAGGAGGAATAGTGAGTTATGGGCCCTTGTGCTTTTGAGGCAGGCGTCTGAAACACTGAGCCAAATCCCCGGCCTTTGTCACAGAGCTTCTGTTTGGGGATAAAAAATTTCAGAAATAGTGATGATTGTTAGATTTCCCTTGCCTTAAGATGGCTGCCACACAGAATAGCAGCCTCCATGTTAAAATATGGCTTCTCCCAACAAAGGACAGGATTCTTCCCATCATGCTTCTTCTCCCACCAAAAGAGCAGCCTGATACTCACCACCTCCTAGCAGCTGGGGATGTCACAAGCCCCTCCTAGTGATGTCACAGGCTCCTCCAGTCCCTTAATGCCACCTCACTCAACACGACCCCAGCTCAGGCTAACTCCACCCCGCTCCTATAAAAGAAGCTCCCTGTTCTGCCATGTTGCTTTCTCTCCTTTGCTTGGAGACAGCCCGGCAGATCCTCCCCATAATAAAGGCTCATTATGGTCCTGGTCTGGTCCTGGCCTGTGGCTCTTTTTGCCTAGTAATGATGAATGCACAACATTATGAATGTAACTAATACTACTGGATTATACACTTAAAAATGCTTATAATGAGGGATGGAGATATGGCTCAGGGGTAGAATGATTGCCTGGCTTGTGGAAGGCCCTAGGATTGACCCCCAGTCTTACAATAAAAAGAAAAAAATAGTTAACAATACATAGTTCTAATCCTTGGACTGGCAGCCTGCTGGCACTAGTCTCCCCTGCTCTGTTCCATTTTTGCCTCTCATAGGCTCCTTGTTCTTCAGCCTTTGCTCAGTTAGCATTGAGAAACACCTTGAGAAGCCCGGCAGCAGGGGGAGAAGCCAGGGTATTACTTACTCTCTTTTTCTGCATCCTGTGGAGTCTGGCAGTCTCCCACTGGACAGCCCCTCCCTTCCTGGTCCCAATTCCACTTGGGCAGTTCCCCTAGTGGTTTTCACTCCCTCTGCACAATAGCCCAGGCTTCTGGACTCTGGTAACACCCTTTTCCCCCAGTGTCACCCATGCAACAAAAGGGAATGATTTCCTGATTCTGCTAATCTTTGAACTGCTCACCGTTTGTTCTTTGGCTTCTTCACTCTTCCATTCATCTGCAAAAAACAAACAAACAAACAAAAAAACATTTGTCTTCCTCTGATAGAGCTATTTCTTTCCTGACTAGGTCTTGATTGATGTCATGTATAGTGGAAAGACCACAGGGCTTGGAAGCTGGAGGGACCTAAGTTTCAATCCTGTTTCTTATTCTATGATCTTCGCAGACAAGTAAATTACTTAACCACATTCTATAATCTGGGGCTTATAAAACCTTCCTCACTGGGTCACTATGAGTGTTAAATGAGATACTATATGCATAGTGCCTGTACGTAGTTAGGACTTAATAAATGGAAGCTACTCTTATTGATTTATAAACTCCCTCAGAATGTGACCATATTCTTCTTTTTGTGTCCCAGTGCTTTGCTTAAAGGACTCTCAAATTTCATTTCATTAACAAATTAGTGATTACTGTGTGCTGGCAATTGTATTAGGTGCTACTTCTAGAGAGCATAAAAGTACAGCTTGTGCCTTTGATGCAATGTGTGCTTATGATTTAATGGAAGTGAGGGGAGTGACAACTAATTTTGCAGAAGGGCAACCTGACAAACACACTAAACTGGAGCACAAGGGAAACCGATGAGCACATGGTTGAAGGATGAGTGAGTGACTTTGCCTAGAAATATCAGGCATAAGGTCAGAGAAGAGTGGCACTCAGCTGGCTTTGAGGGAGAAGAGAACTTCCAACAACCAAAGAACGAGGCAAGGAGAATTCATACTGAGGGATTGGCATGAGCTAAGTGATAGATCATGCACTGAGATCATGTATATTCAGAGCATGATGTCATTTCCTTTGAAAGGAGTACCTGGAAGGAATCATAGAGACCTTGAAATCCTTGCTGGCTACTAGGTATGGAGCTGGTTCTACAAGTAAAGAATAGTCAATAGGAATTTTTGAGGAGAGGAGTGATTTGACCAATTGTAACTGAAATTTAAAAAAAGGTGGGGTGGGGATTTAGCTTGGTGGTTCTGCTGCCTGCCTCACAAGCACAAGGACCCGAGTTCCATCCCCAGTACCAAAAACAAAACAAACAAACAAACAAAAGGAATTTGGAGCCCATTAGCAAGTTCCTGCTGTAGTGAGTTTCTACAGTGGCATAACTCCTGGGGATTGATAGATTGTTAGATAGAGAAGGTGAGCTAGAGTTAGTTAGAACTGACTCTTATCTAAGAGAGAATTTCTCAATCCATTCAGCACAAAAATCTCTCTTGAACAATGACAGTAACAGTTACAGTTAATTATTTCTCAATGTACTGCATGTATGTGTGTATATATATATA